TTGTAATATGGTACAACTGTTTTGGAAAGAAATTTGGCAGTTATTTCCTAAACCTAAACATATGCCTATATTAAGATGCTACAACCCCGTTCTTGATATACCTCCAAGAGAAATTAGTAGCTATGACCACAGAAAAGAATGGTTCCAGAGAATTCATAGATTTAATCATGAAAGCTGCAAAGAGAAAATAATCCAAATGTCCACTAATAGAAAAATGGATTAAAAATTATGGCATATTTATACTATAGAATACTTCACAGTGATAAATAAAGAACAATTTTCCGATACATGAGAAAACATGGATGAATATAATAAATATGTCAACTGAAAAGAGGACAGACACCAAAGTCTATATGTTGTGTTTCCATTCATACAGAATTCAAGAACAGGCAAAACTAACCTATGGTGATAGAAATCAGAATGGTGATTACCCTTTTGAGTGGGAAAAACAAGAAAAACATCCAGCATGCTGGAACATTTCTATATCTTAACCTGAGTCATGGTTATATACAAGTGTATATATATTTAAAAATTCACTAGTTTATACACTTAATATCAGTGCACATAATCACTTTTCTATATGTATGTTAAATCTCAATAAATTAAAAAATATTGGGAGACAACTAAAAATATCTTTAGAATTTTATTTAATAAATAAATTAATGACTCCCTTAATGCTTCTCATAAAACTACTGGAAGATATACTTGAGAAGAAAATCAACACAGGGGAAGTTATATAGTATAATAAATAATGGTGAGTATAGGAACTAATAAAAATATGCCTTCATGTTTAATTAAATATTAGTTATAAAAACCACCAACTAAATTTTATATTCAAAATTGAGAAGGAAAACCTCTAGAAATCTTTACAAGATGGATAATATACTAAGATCTGTTCTGTGCTGGATGAAAGAATGGTGTAACAGTGTATATATAGAGAGATAAATGATTAAAATTTAAAAAGAGAGAGAAACAATTGATAGCCTCAGGATATGCAAAGTAAGAAAAAGAGTGTGGAACACTGAGGGCATTAATGGTTCCATTTTTCACTCCTAACTGTATGAACTCCCTTTGCCATGTAACTTTGTAAGGCCTTTTAACGCAGCCTTTGGGTTCAGCCATTTGACTTGTCCTTGCCATTTGGATTTTAGTAGGTGGGATATAAGCAGAGGCTCATGAAGTTCATGTGTGATTCTGCTTTCTCACTCTACTCCTCCCTTATTAACACAAGAACAAGAAAGTGAATTGGAGAAACATGACATATAGCTGAATCTCCCCAGTTATCTCAGCTGAGAATTTCCTACATTTGCAGCAAGCCAGCCAAACCCAACAATAACAGTAATAAACAAAATGGGGGTAATTACATCTACTAAGAAAATAATAATCAATTTACATAAAAGCACAGAAATTAGTTATATGAGAACTGCAAGAGATCTACCTAAAATAAAACCAAACAGAAAAATTGTAACTAAAGAAATAAAATAAGATGTGCCATTCTAAAATAAGATGTGAAATTCTAAATAGGAGAAATCTTTTGGAATATCAATGCCAAACAAAAATATAATTTGAAGAATGAAAATATTAAAGGGATTGAAAATATGTGTGTATATTTACATGAATATATGTGTGTGTGTGTGTATATATATATATATATACACAACCACTATGAAGGTAGAAAAATTAACCCATGTGCTTAATATAGCCCAGAATATATAAAGTGAGCCTGAACAGAATTATGAAAATAAATTAACTAGTATAAAATATATCTGTCTGTTAGAAAACAATAGATCAAGCAGACCAAAGTAAGTAGAAATAGTGAAATTTGAACAATAAACATTCTTGATAACACACCTATCACACACACCATATCACAAACACATACCACACATACAAAACTATGTCCTAACCCAATGAAAATATATATTCTTCTCGAGTATTCATTAATCATTATAAAAATTGACTTTATTATATCACAAATGACATCTTAATACATTTTTAAAAAAATCAATATTACTCAGACAATGGTCTTTGGACAGATGCTTAATATCTTCTTTAAAAATACATAAATAAAAGTTAAGCTTGATATATCTTCAGAGAGTAGAAAACCATTTAAAATGACCTAGCACAATTAAAAATGATCCCCAAAATAACTTTTAGAAATAAAAACCACCAATAAAATTTTAAAGCTCAGAAGATAGGTTAAATGGTAAATTAGTCTATTAGTACGCATCTTCAGAGAAGCAGATATCAAAAAAGGATTAAAAGTTCAAAGATTTTTTTTAGGAAAAATGCCTGTGTGAGAGAAAATTGGGAGGAACCAGTGGGGAGGAAACACTGCCAGCCTTGAGTGCAAGTCTGCCACAGAGTGAAGAAGACAGAGAAAAGCATGAACGGAAACATCCTAGACTGCCATGCAGTCCACAGGATGTTTGAAAAAACCACCGGGAGTCCTCAGGCAAAGTTGGCCAGTAGAGGTTCCCATGTCTCCAAGAAACATGTGTGCCTAGTGTCCCTACAGCCATCGTTCATCAGCTGAGAACAGCCCACTGGAAGTAAGTTCAAAGCAAAAAGCAGTGATGTATTTCAGAGCGTAGCGGCAGCAACCTGTACTGCAGTTGAGAACAGCCCACTGGAAGTATGTTTCAAGGCAAAAAGCAGTGATGTATTTCACAGTGTAGCAGCCACAGCCTGTACTGGTTATCCTTTGCTGCATAAGAAACTACAACAAAATTTAGCTGCTAGAATCATCAATATTTATCATTTAACAGTTTCTGTGTTCTAGATTAGCTAGGTTCTCAGGATACAGGTCTTTCACGAGGCTTTAGTTATCTTCAAGGGTTGGTTGGGAAAGACCTTCTTCCTAACACACTCCAAACACTCTTGCTCACACACTCCTGGTGCGCAGTTCGATCTACAGGGTTGCTGCACTGAGTCCTGAATTGGTTTCTTGCTATAAGGGCCTCTCCAGAGAGCATCTCAAAACATGGCAGCTCGATTCACCACAGCAAATAAGCAAGAAGGCAGGAAAGAGAATGCTAGCAAGACAAACGTCACAGTTTTTGCCAGCTAATTATAAAAATGGCATATTATTACTTTTGCCATATTCTATTCACTAGAAACAACTGACTGGGTCTAGCCTACATGCAAGGGGAAGGAATTTTACAAGACTGTGGGTATCAGGAAGCAGAAGCAGAGATCCTTGGAAGCTATGTACAATGCTGCTAACCACAGAGCCCTTTGGTCAATTATATTTTTCATAGTTGATGGTCTGTGAGGTGCACCCACATGGCCTTTACATTAGACCCAGATCTTTTAAAAGTACAGATTCTCACTCAGTAGGTCTGACTGAGCTTGAGATTCTGCATTTTGAAAAACTACCTAGATAATGTTGATATTGCTGTACAAAGATTAACCTCCATGGTTACTAAACTTAATCTAATGAAACAGTAAAGAGTAATACACCCAAGAAGTAAAGAATAAATGTTATTTTTATTACACAAGGAATATTTACCTAAAAAACAAAAAATGAAAACAAAAATCATGTCACTGAGCCATCAATTAAGACTCAAAAATTTTCAAAGTGTTGAAACCGTATAATGTCCCCTGACCAAAATACAATTCAGCTGGAAAGCAATAATAAAAAAAATTAGAAATGCATCATAAAAGTTAACAAATATATATTTCTTAATAATCAATAGATCCAAGAAGAAATCATGATGGGAATTAGAAATTATACATGATTGAATGATAATGAAAATACAAGAAATCGGGTGACTTATAAAAGATACTTACTTGTTAGATAATGTTTAGCACACTTTGAAATATAGATACCTTAACAAATGGATATTATATAGATTGTAGGATTTTTTATAAATTGTGTTCATCTTGCTTATATTTATTTGATTCTGGCTTCATAAGGAATATGAATTTTCCTATATTAAATCACTGATAAACTAGAATAAATAAAAGTTTTATCACATCAGACAGAACCATAAAGAATTTAAAGCCAACAAAAGGAACTGGAAAAATATAGAAAATACAAACACATCAGAAACAAACGTAAGAATAAAACCCTCAATTAATAATATTCAAAATATTATTAATTTATATATTTCTAATATTTCATTTTATTAATAAAAGAAATGCAAGTTAAAATAATTAGATGCTATCTTTATAATTAATACATTGATACACATTTATTTTTAATAATATCCCAAGCTGGAAATTATTTTTTATTTATTTATTTTTTTTCCCTTTTTTTTGTCTTTTTTCATGTCCGGCATCGGATCGCAACCCTCAGTGTTGTATACACATTTATTTTTAATAATATCCCAAGCTGGAAATTATTTTTTATTTATTTATTTTTTTCCCCTTTTTTTTGTCTTTTTTCGTGTCCGGCATCGGATCGCAACCCTCAGTGTTGTGCCTGTACTGGACCAGGACCGGCAACGGGACCGCAACCCTCGGTGTTGCGCCTGCACCTCGCTCAGCCAGTGAGCGGGAACCGGTCTGTATGTGGGATCCGAACCCTCGGCGGGAGGGTCGCTGCACTCCCAAGCGGCGCACTGTAGCAGTGCGCCACCGGGCCGGCCCCTGGAAATTATTTTTTAAATAGTCAGTTTTGAACATAGATAGTAGGGATATAGAAGCACACTTCAAAAAGTTTGTGAAAAATTGGAATTAAAGGATAATACAAATCCTTCCATAAATTTTTGAAGACACCTCTTATTGTTATACCATATCCTTAGGCAATTTGGCAGTATATATAAAGAGTGTTAAAAATGACACAAAAATATACTGCTTTAGGAAATTATACATACATAAATTTACACAAATAAAATATACATATTTTATTTTTATATAAACTTGGTGGTAAGATAGATATGGTTGATTAAAAGTCTTTTGTCTTTACCTCAGCTTTTAATACAGAAATAAATGTTACATTTTTAATTAATAATTTATTTCTAAGAGCAATAGCAGTATTTGTGAAAAAATCTTACTTGTGGGCCTTTATGTTCATTTCATCATTGCGAATACCTTCTTCCATTTCTTCCTTAATCTGTTTAGTCTTTAATTTGATATTTTCAAGCTTTTCTAGAGCTTCTTCAAGTTCCCCATGAACTTGTCTGTATAGGTCCATTACCTGGAAATGAAAAATATTTTTGCTAAAATATGCACTTAATGTTTAATTAAACGGAAGAACTTTAACTGAAAGAGTTTTGATTTAGATAAAAAGTTATTTACACATGTTTCCCCCATATATACTCTATTTTTTAGTATGTGGAGTTTCAGGTTTCCTTTATCCAGATAGACATCAATGCTGGGGATGTATAAAAGTTATTGAAGAAAATAA